GGGGGCGGGGCAGGCTTCCTCCCGCCTCCGCCGGCCCCTTGAGGAACTTGGTTCCAGGGCCCTGGGGGAGGGAACCTATGGGCAGTGGAGTCTACAGCTCCGCCCAGGCTAAAGAGGAAACTGAGGCATTGACGGGGGGGTGGGGGTGGTGGTGTGAGGGGGTGGGGGCGGGGCAGGTGTGAGGTGGGGGGTGGAGCCAGAACCCTACCACCTAGGAAGGGGGAGGGAAGGGGGAAGGACGGTGGCCCCAGCCCTGGCTCTCTGTCCCCGCAGTGCCCTGTCTGGGGAGACTGCCTGGGCTGGCACTCATGTGCCGCGTGTGTGCTGTGGGCGGTGGGGGCACACGCAGACCCGGTTTTCTGCCTGGGAGGGGACACAGGCGTGGTGAACTGCCTCTGGCCGCCCTGGCGGCCCCGTACAGGTCCCGGCCCCCCGCACTGCTCTCCAGTTCCGTTTGCCTGTTCTGGCCCTGGGGTGCCCGTGTGTGCCTGCCTTGACCGAGCACCCGCGCACGTGCACGCCGTGTCTGGGCCTCCGTTTGTGCCCATCCGTGCGAGTCCCTGGGGGTGGATGTGGCTTCACAGGGGCTCATGTGAGCCTGAGCGTGTTTGTGGGGCCGGCACCAAGCTGGGGCTACATGTGATCGTACATAACCTCTGAGTGCTGGCGGCTCTGTAGGGACACATGGGTTGGAGGGGGCGGTATGGGAAAGACAAGGGCCGGGCGTGGGGCAGCGAGCCGTAAACCTCCCTGGCCAAGGCCGGCTCCAGGCAGCGGCTGTGAGGGACATCCCTCCGCAGGTGCCCTGCCCGGGGTGGAGGCTTGTTGAGGCTTTGGGGTCAAGGTCAGGGAGGGCTCAGGGCCAGATCTGTGATGTGCTGCTCCCTGCCCAAGTGCCACCTCTGGTCTCCTGGCCCTGTGCCCCTTCCCACGCATGCGGCTGAATCATCCGGTGCCCCTTGACCCAGCACCTGCTGAGCTGGCCCCGGGCTGGCCACTGAGGACACACAGACGACTGCCCAAGACAGGCCCTGGGCTTCCGAGCTCTGAGTCTGGTGAGGGACATGGTGGCAATGCACCAACAGGAGGGAGCAGGGGTGCTGCAGGGCCCTGGGCAGCCTGCTGGGGCAGCGTGGTCAGGAAGGCCACGGGAGGGGCCGCACAGCTCAGGCAGAGGCAGGGGTAACAGGAAGTAGGCAGCCTGGATGGACAGAGGGAGGGAGGCCATCTGGCATTGGGAACTGCACAGCAGGGTCCTCGTGAGTGGAGGGCAGGAATGAGCCATGAAGCTGAGAGTGAGCAGGGGACTTCCACACTGGCTCATAGCTGCCCCTGTGCAGACCAGATTGGGGACTTGATCCTGAGGGCAGTGGGGAGCCATTGAAGATTCTGGGGGAGGGTAGTACTTGGAGCAGCCTCCCTGTTCCCTGCAACCAGGCTGCCCAGGGATGCAGGACTGAGCCCACAGGCTGCCATCATCTCCTTAGAACACTGTCTTATCTGTCCCAGAAGGGGACACTGAGACCCAGAGAGGCACAGGAGCCTCTGGCCCATCCATATCCTTGCTCCAGCCAGCAAGGCAGGAGCAGCCAGGGTCTAGCTGGGGGGAATGTGGATTCCATGTTGTTTCTGTGTGGGGGTGGCCTGGAGGCAGCCAGGATGTGGGGGTGGAGGGCCGAGGCATCTGAGGCTCAAATTTTATGATCTGACGACCGCTGAGTCACTGGTAGGCCTGGCCAGGCCTCGTGCCCACTCTGAGGGCCACGGGGCTCTAGTCTGGCACAGGAAGGCTGGTTCCCTAAGAAATCTCAGGGATTCTCCAGAACACAGCGGGCACCGTGGACTTCCGAGGAGCACCCCTCCCCCAGGGGGCTTTTCTCTGTAGGACCCAGGGATCCTGGGCTGGGAGGTGCTGGAGCCTGTGAGGCTTGAGGTGACCCCCTGTGGCCCTCGGTGGAGACAAGGGTACACGGACAATTTTACCCTGTCTCCTCCACAGGCTGGGTCAGGCCAGGCTGCCTGTGTCTGGGGTCAGAGGTCAGATGTTGGCTTGGTCAGGGGTCAAGACCCCTTCCAGAGGGTCTGACTGGAGCAGTTTAGGGTGGGGCTGCCCTCTTGGAGCCCAGCCAGGAGGAGAGCCCTCGCTGAGCCCACAGAAGCCCCCTGACCCTCGTGGTTGCATGGTGAAATTCCACAGTGGTATTTCCAGGATGCGCAGACCATGGTGGGGACTGCCATTCTGAGGGGCTGAACCACAAAAGCAGTAGAGCAGCTGAGGGGGACCGAGGGGCAGCAGGGGACCCTAGGTGACAGCCAGGTGGGTCCTGTCCCCGTCCTGGTGCTTCAGCTCTAGACCTCACCCGTCCTCCCTCATCACAGCACCACACGAGGACGTAAACACGCTGGGACCCTGGCTACACGTGCGCCGTCCGCCCCGGGAGCAGCTGGGCGGAGGGGCCTGCAGGGGCCGGATGCAGGCCCGCTCTGGGGAAGGACTCTGCTCCTGAAGGGGTGATCCTGAGAGGAAAGACAGCAGCTGGGGCTGGGCAGGTGGCCCTTCCTAAGGGGTCAGTGGCCACGTGCCCCCTCCTGTGTTCTGGACTCACTGGCAGGGCCCGGCACCCACAGGGAGGCCCAGGTGGGCAGAACCTTTCCCTGCCCTGGGGAGAAGTGACCCTGTGTGTCTGGGTTGGAGGGGCCTTTGGGCAGCCCTGGGTTCGAGGCTGGCTGGACCACTCACTTATGTGCTCTGACCCTCAGCATCTCCCTCCAAAGTGTGGACAGCGTGGCCTGTGAAAGCCCCCTCCTCTCAGGAAGCACCCAGTCCTGCCGCATCAGGCAGGCTGCTTCACAGGAACACTCATCCCCAGCGGGTGTGTGGAGGCAGACCGCAGCGGGGGACTCACCCTGGGCCCACAGCAGCCACTGGGGGAGCCGGAGAAACCAGGGTGGGCTTCCTGGAGGATGAATGAGGCTCAGCTGGGGCAGAATTTTCGAGACATGAGTGAGCAGGGGCTGGGCTCAAAGATGCCCACCTTCCCCCCCACCTCTGTGTCCTAAAAGGAGCAGGACCAGTTCGGGCCAGACAACCAGAACCGGGCTACAAGCTGCTTGTGTGGAAACGTCCAGGGCACCTAGCACGGGCCTTGGGCAGAGTTATGGTGGGAACTTGCTCTGAAGCTCTGGGGACCCACCCAGGGGTGACTGCTGGGACCATTGACCGTGAGCTTTGTCCCCGCAGTTCCCTGGGCCACTCTTCTGTGCCCCATTTGTCACTTAGGAGCTCCTCAGAGCTCATCTTATGCCACCTTCAACTTTCACAGGTGGAGAAATTGAGGCCCAGAGAGGGACAGAGTCTTGCTTAAAGCCACACAGTGACCGGATCACTGCAGATGCTGGCGGGAGCAGGGCCTGGGCTTCCGTGTGGCAACACACACTTGGGCCGCCTGAGTGACCAGGAAAGGGCTGTTTAACCTCCTGTTCAACTCAGCGTCAGACTGTGAGAACGGCCTTCCTCGTGGGTCCTTGGGACTGCGGCCCCGGTCCTTGGCAAGCTTAGCGTGGGAAGCAAGGTAGACTTCTGGTGCTGCTGTGGACCTGGCAGAGTCCCCGCGGAGCAACAGGAATGACAGGGAGGTACGGGGTGCTTCGCACCCATGAGGAGGCCGAGGGGAAGCCCCAGGTCTTCAAAGGGTGGATAAAACCCAGGAGGGAGTGCTGGAGGAGGAAGCCTTGTCAGCAGACCTTGCAGGACTCGAGGAGCCATGGTTCCAGGGAGCAGGTCTCAGGGAAAGAAAGTCAGAGCATCATTCACACCCCAGAAGGGTTACACCGCGAGCTCTACCCAAAATGCTGTTTCAGGGGTTCCACATGCATCACCTCATTTTCACAACAGCCCTGAAAGGCAAGTGCAAGTGTGATCCCACTTTACAGATGTGGAAACTGGGGCCAGGACGAGGCCACTGAGCAAGTCCTGCAGCCAGAGAGCAGCTGGCTGAAGTTGGGACCAGGCTGACCTCTCAAGCCCGCAGCACATTTCCTCCACATCTCAGCCCTGAAATACGTGTCCACTTTCCTCCCATCCCTATGCGCACAGACACCACAGTCAGCCCTGCTCTGGCCCCTACTTGCTTATACATGCATTGGCGTGTATGCACACACATGCACATACACATATCACATGCATAACATACACAGGTGCGTGCGCACAGGTGAACACACACACCCCTGCACACATATGTCGATGCATACATGGGCGTGTATACACACAGGCACACATGGTGCACACTCACACTGGTGTACACTCCTGCACACACATACACACACACTGGCACACACACATGACATATGGATGTGCACACGCAGATTCACGGATATGCCCCTCCCCAGCCTCCTGGTTAGCATCAAGTCCCTTTGGGAGGCGTGTGTGCCACTTGCTTACATGTGTCCAGGCTGGGCCGTGACAGCGGGAGGAGGAAGCCTTTCCAAACAGGAAGAGCTCACCTGGGTGGCATTAGGTCCTCCCGGCTGAGGAGCAGGAGCCTGTCACCGGCCCCCTGGCCCTCCTGCGACTTGCACCTGCTTTGCCTGGCTTGGCTGTGGAGCCCACTGAGGTAGCCCTGCCTCTTACAGGTAAGCGCACTGAGGGCAGGAGTGGGGCTTGGCACTCCAAACTCAGCTGCTGCTTCAGCCCTTCGGAGCCTCCCCAGAGTCTGGGTAGGTGTGCCCCTTGTCACTCACCTGTGACTGGCCAGGTGGGGCAGGGATGCACACTGAGTGCCCCCTTGGGAGACAGAGGGGAATGGTGGGTTCCCCGGGGGCAGAGAGGATAGGGGAGCCCTTGCCTCCCCTGGGCTCACATGGCTGCCCCCAAGGAGCCAGGACGG